CTGCAATTTGCTTCATTATGATTTTTTTTTAAAAAACAACAACTTCCAAGTCTATTTTTCAATATTTGAAGCACTGCTCTAATTCCAGTATTAAAAAAGATAAATACAAATTATTATAATGTTTAGGGAACTACCATGTAGGGGTGGGCTGCTGGGGGTTTGCAGGGGTTCAGGAGAACCTCTAAGATTCTGTGCAGTTTGGAGAACCCCCAAATCCCACTCCTGGCTGGCCCCACCCACCCCTCCCCTCCCAGAAGTCTCCATGCAGCCCATTTTGGATGCAAGGGCGCGGATGGAGACTCAGGAGGGCAAAAAACAGGCCTACTGGAAGTTCAGGAAGGCCTCCGGAACCTGGGGAGGCTCTCCCAGAGGCTCAAGGAAAGCCTCCCGAGCCCAGTGAGGGCAAGAAGCCCCCCCTGCTGTGGTGCAGGAGGCCGACTAGGCCACACCACCATGGCCACACCCACCCAGCAACCAGGCAGAGAACCCCTTGCTAAAATTTTTGAAGCCCACCACTGCCACTATGCCTAACAATACTCTACTTTTGTTGCCTTCTGAAATTTAAGAAACATTTGCCTTTTTATGGAACTTGGGATTCAGCATCATTAAAAGGAAACAAAATATATAGAACAGCTTTCTATATGCTGCTTGATCCAATATTATAAAATGCACATGATATGAATAACCTTGAAGGTTTCTCTTTTACTTTGCCTTCTTTAAGACTGCAAAAAATGCAAATACAGCATACCCCTAAAAAGTATACTTACTTCTCCTCCATGCCCCACCCTGAAGTACAACCAGCCTGATCGTTCATTTTAACAATCGTATTCTGACCTTTAAGAGAATATGTTTTTTCTGATATTACTTTAGAGGTGTCAAACTCAATTTCATTGATGGCTGCATCAGGGTTGTGTTTGACTTTGGGGTGGCGGGGGTGGGGGTGGCCAGTTGGACATCACTCGTGTGGGGGGCGCCTATGGTGGCCCAAATGCTTTGCCAGTGAAAATGGAGCTTGGCCTTCCCAAGCTCCGTTTTCACTGGCAGAGAGTTGCAGGAGGCTGTCACAGCTGAAAACAGAGCCCGGCTGGCAGAAGCACCATGGGCCGGTTCTTCGCTGTTTCCACAGCGGCCCCGCGAGCCAGATCTAAGCACCACACAGGCCAGATCCCCTGTATTACTTGACCCCCCTGTATTACTTGATGTAAATATGGCAGCATTTGGTAGTGAAATGCAAACACTGTTCCGTTCCTTGATACACATATTATAATTAGCCCATATCCTAATCCAGGAGCCATCCAGGATCAAATGAAGGTACACTCCTCTATTCAGATGAGAACAGGAACCACAGTGCACCCCAAATACACTTCTCTCTAGATGCTCCAGAAACAGAACTGTAAGCCTCTCTTAGTCCCATCCTTGGAAGCTGCTGCTCGGTATCAGATTAGATCCTTCAAATATATTGGTCTTCATCCTGATTGTTGGTGAGTAGTGACCATTTGTCTGCTCCATCTTCCAAGGCTCCTCGCGCTACGTCTGAAGTCAGGGAACAAAGGGACACTTGACTGATACTGTCCCAGGTAGCTAATTTGGGAGGTTTCCGTCTCCAATCATCCATCCCAATATGGACGCTAACTTGAGAAGGAGTCAGTGGCTTCATACAGCCTTGAGCCTCAGCTTCATATTTTTCCAAGACTGTTTTCTTGTAACTATGGAAATAGAACAAGTAAAAAACAAAGAGATATCCAATAGAAGCACAGAGTCGGATATGAGAGCAGTCCAGCAAATATTAGTACAGGAAGTCCTCGACTTACAATAGGCTTATTTAATGACAATGCAAAGTTGCAACAGCACTGAAAAAAGTGACTTAGAGCTGTTTTCACACTCAACGACTTTGAGGCATTCCCATGATCACGTGATCAAAATTTAGATGCTTGGCAACTGGTTCATGTTTATGACCATTGCTGTATCCCAAGGTCACATGATCACCTTTTGTGACTTTCTGACCAGCAAGGCCAATAGGGAAGTCAGATTCACTTAACAACCAGGTTACTAATTTATCAACTGCAGTGATTCACTTAACAATTGTGGCAAGAAAGATGTAAAACACGGCAAAATTCACTTAACAAATGTCTCACTGAAAACAGAAATTTTGGACTCAATTATGGTCAAAAGTTGAAGACTACCTGTATTTATGGTTCCACCACAAAACCGCGGTAGACTAAAGCGCGCTCGACGAAAGCACGTACCTGACATCATCACAATGCGACGAAAACATCACGTTGTGAGCAGTAAAGTTAAAATTAACGTGAAAACCTTACCCTAACCCCCCCAAACCTAACCCTAACCCTAACCCTTAACCTAACCCTAAACCTAACCCTAAACCTAACGCTAAACCTAACGCTAACCCTTAACCTAATCCTAAACCTAACCCTAATGTTTAACGTAACCCTAAACCTAACCCTAACCCTNTTATTTCAGGGGTCAAAAGAAAATAAGACCCTGTCTTTTTTCCGGGAAAACACGGTAGGAAAAGTTACATCAGATACTTCTCAAGAGTCTTCCTTTTTATTCAGTTTTCAAAGCTAGGGAAACGTCTTAGGGAAGATGCAAATGTAAGACATTTCTTTCACCTGCAGATTGTCCAGGCCGTATTCGCAGGGGGCTGAGAATGATCTCGTGATTAACTATATCTTCATGGACAATTGAATTTGAGCTGCCCTCAAGTGCAAGATTGCTGCTACAAGTAGCTATGTCTGGAGTAGCCATTCCCAAACAAACTTTGAATGAGAACTTCACAGAGCAATGCAAATGTTATTTACAGTCTAATTTTGAAGTTTCTTCAGTAGACTACAACGCAATAGATGGAAGTGAAGCAACTGGGGAACTACAGTAGTGGAAAAAAAGAGCTGCAATTTCAGGGAACCCTCATATTTTTTTGCAGTGTTCCCCTTATGCTGCTGGGAGAGAATCATCCATGGAAACATCTATTCTTTGTTTATGGATATTTCTTGATGATGGAATCATTGGAATTAAAATATTCCATTTCAGGAATATAAAATTCCACAATTCACCATTGCCGAATCTTACAATTTTGTTTGGCAATTTTGAGATAAATTCCAACTGATTAAATACAGCACAGGCTTTCACAGTGAAGCAATAATTTTAACTGCTTGCCCCTTTCCACATTCCAAGTTTCTACATTCCCAGCATTTGCTATTATACAAAAGCTTTCATGATTTTTTTTTGATGCATCTTGACTGAGTGCCAGGTTCATTACACATATTTATCCCTTCCCTCTCTGACTTCTGATGGTAATTTGAATTGTGTGTAGATTTCATAAATAAATGGAAAGTGTGGATTTATTTTTTAAGGTAAGATGCTGCAGTTATACATCCACAATAACTATACTGCATGAAGTGCAATAAATAATTGGATGAAATTATAAAAGAAATTAGAAATTGTAAATAATTATTTTCAAATGATGTTTATAAAGATGGGTTTTTTTAAATTTCACGTAAGAAAAAGAATGGATTTATTTACTGCAATTTGCTTCATTATGATTTTTTTTTAAAAAACAACAACTTCCAAGTCTATTTTTCAATATTTGAAGCA